TTATGCTAAGTGAAATAAGCCGGTCACAAAAAGGACAAACACTGTATGATCCCACTTATAGGAGGCACTTGGAGTAGACAAAGTCATAGAGCCAGAAAGTAGAGTGGTGGTTGGCAAGGGCTGAGTGGCAGGAGGGTCAGGTGTGTGTGTGTGGGTGGAGTTACTGTTTAATGGGTACTGAATTTCAGTTTGGGAAGATGAGAAAGTTCTGAAGATGGATGGTGGTGGTTCTTACAGTGTGAATATACTTTGTACCACTCAACTGTGCACTTAAGATGGTTAAGATGGTAAGTTTTACATTATGTATATTTTACCACAATAAAATAATGTAGCTAGTTTAGGGATTTGGAAAGACCAATACCTAAAGGCTAGGTTCCTCCCTACCTAAATTCTCACATTACCCAACTGTTGGACTGCGAGCTTCCCCAAAACTACCTGACCTGCTTTTGTCTGCTGAAGAACAGTAACGCTTCAGCTCAGGACCATCATTCACCTGAAGCAACCACAGCTCATCATGGAGCTCAGGACCCCTGCCCTGTTGTTCTTAAAGGAAAGTACCATGGGAACGCCAGGTGCTACCTTGCTGGGTACCCCACCTTTCTGGAACAGCCTGTGCCCACCTCGCCTCACCACGCCTGTTCCTTGTCTAATCTAAGAGGCTTCCTGGGCAGTTCCTAGGTTGATATTGGTATTGGGGAGACAGACAAATCTTTTCAGAGATTGAGACTCATGCCTTCTTAGAATGGCCAGAAGTGACATGGTCACAATTGATGTATTGAAGTTCCCAAATTACAGATAGCAAAGCAAGTTGTGGGGAATGGGAGGAAGGGGAGGCGGAGGCTGGGTTGGCATACAAGAAAACAGCCAGTCCACTTGGGCTGTTTAGAATCTGCTTAGTGAGCATGTGGAGCAGTTAGGAAGCTGCCAGCTCGTGAGCTCCAAGGAGAGTAGCGGGGAGCTCTTTGTGGGTAATTTGGACGCTGCCTAGCCTGTGCTCCTAGAAGGTCCTCTCTCTTTCCAGGGCCATCTCTTGCAGAGCTCTTTGTCCTTGCTAAGAGTCACTGGCACCAGAACATCTCTCTCCTGTCTGTGAAATCTCAGAGATATGAATCTGAGTACTGGGCTGGTTTCACTCAGATTGTGGGGCTCGGGTAGGGGAGCAGGGACAACAGGTATGGTTTGATAAACGCACTGATCATGATGATGCATGCTAGCAGTTAAGGGGCTGCTTCCTGGGTTTGGGAGCTAATATGATGTTACACTTAAATCGTATTAACATTCCATCCCAGATTTTGAGTGTCAGAACCCACTTTTAAGGAATAAAGTTTGGAATCTTCACCTTCTGGTGGTTTACTAAGAAAATACATAAAGGTAAAATTGCTGAATTTGGTGATGCTTTCTTTTAACTAAATTGGTATCTTATCTACCCTAACATGCATTTGAAAATAGTGGCACACGTAGCAGGGGACATGACATTTATTTAGTCTCCCTCGAAGTGCCACACATGCATGTGATCCCACTCCCTGCTCTGTCACTGAGAAACCTCTCCCCGCAGTGGTTCTGGGTGCACTGAGTATGCACCACCTTAATCTGCTGCTCATATCTTGCAATACTTACGCACGTATAACAATCCCCATTTTGTATATGAGGACATTGAAACATGGAGATTAACAAACAACTTGCCCAAGGTCACCAGCTGCTAAGCGGCAGTTGCTTCTGAAAGCATGGGCCTGTGCATGGCTTTCTGGACCTGGCCAGATCCATCTTTCTGTGCAGTTAAGCACAGCCCTAATGGGCTGTGTGCAGGTGTTCTTCCCTCTGCGTTTCCTCACTGTAACTTTCAGACAGCAGCTTGCTGCTGACCACAGGCTGCTGGGCAGTATCTCCTGTGTGCCCCCAAAGTCCTTTGTAGGAAATCATAGGCCCACAAATGCATTGGGACCCAGTACAGTGAGTCCTCTGCCTTCATCTCACTCTGCGGCTGTCTATTTGAGCTCATTGTCTATAAGCTGCAAACATTGCTAGAAAGGAAGCTATCTCCCCCATGATTTATAACTCTCTGCTCATTTAATGAACATGGCAACAAGTGAATGAGCATTGAGCTGTCCTTGGAGGAGAATGTAGAGGGCTGGCAGCTGGAAGGCCCTCTTCTCCGCTGCTCCCCCACTTTCTGAGATGGTCAAGCATTTAACTGAACAGCAGCCATAGCAACATCACACTGAGTCAGTGCTAGAGATGAAAAGCCCTTAAAGGTTTGGACTTCCGACTTTAGAAAACAAGTGAGTGGGTCGGCCGAGTGGCGTGATGGTTAAGAACTGGCTTGGGACGCCAGAGGGCCCCGGTTCGGATCCCACATATGAGGGCCAGTGACACTGCCCTCCACAGTTGAGATGCTAAACAACAGCTCAACCTGGAGCTGGGCTGCCGTGAGTCACCTGCGATGGTGTAGGCTGCAGCCCCTGTGGCAGTAGGTTGCCATGGGCTACCATGAGCGGCCACCAGCCGCAGTGAGCGGCCGTCCAGAGGCCGGCGATTGGTCTGCCTCGCCCGGGAAGAGCGCAATGATGATGCCAACTTGGGCCAGTGGAGCAGAGTCCTCCACAACTAGACTGAAGAACAAGACGACAGCAACTTGTCTGTTCCTCCTCCCCCAATTCCCCAGCACTGTTCCCATCCCCCAATTCCCCAATAAAAATCTTTAAACAAACAAACAAACAAACAAACAAAAAACAATTGGGTGCCTGCCCAGAGTGCCTGCCCTCCAGCAAGCTGCTGTACCGCATGGACCTCTGGGTAGGGGAGCTCAGGGCTAGGGTCCAAGTGCTGTGCACCTGAACGCTGAGCCTTAACTGTCATTGCTACAATAGCATTGAGTCATGTTTTCTAGCCTGGCCAGTGCCTGTTAGCCCAGCCAGCTGTACAGCCCTCTGGGTGGAAGGGAGAATAGCAGAGAGATAAATGGCCCCCACATCCAGGGGAGGCAGGCCCTGGCTCGCAAGTATCATGTGACTTAGATCAAACAGCTGGGCAATGGCAGGTATGGTCAAGAACCCTGCTCTCCTGTCCTCTTTTATTTATTTTTTTTAAAGTTTTTATCAGGGAATTAGGGGAGGGGAACGGCTTTGGGGAACTGGGGAAGGGGAACAGACAAGTTGCTTTTGTTCTTCAGTCTAGTTGTGGAGGACGTTGTTTCACTGGCCCATGTTGGTATTATCATTGCACTCTTCCCGGGTGAGGCAGTAGCTCCCCGGCCATTGGACGGCCGCTTACGATGGCTCACGGCAGCTGCCAGTCAGCCCCCAGCCAGCCCCACTGCAGCCTACGCCATCGCCAGCGACTCACGGCAGCCCAGCTCCAGGTTGAGCTGTTGTTCACCATCTTAGCTGTAAAGGGCTCAGCGTCACTGGCCCTCATGTGGGATCTGAACCGGGGCCCTGTTGCTCAGAGCTGGCGTCCCAAGCCAGTTCTTAACCAACGCTCCACTCAGCCAGCCCTCTCCTGTCCTCTTCACTTCAGCTTTTTTGTGTGTGAGCCCTGAGCCCTCTGTGCCACCAGCATTTCTGTGACTAATAGTCTCTGGCCATTCTACTCATAGGAGGTTTTCTAAGCCAGAAACGTAGACAGCCCTTGTTCCAGCATGTGTGTTAGTGTTACAAAGCGCTCACCAAGAGAGGCCTCCTGAAAGACCCAGCCACAGCTTCTAGCACTCTAAATGCCTTAAAGCTACAAAGCAGGAAGCATATTAAGAGCCCATAAACCTTCCAAACCCCGAGGCCAGCAGTCGCAAATGGATGACAGGTGTGCCTGCCCACTTCTCAGAGGCTCTGCTCTTGCCTGCTTTTGGGCCACCTTCACTCCCTCTTTTGAAATGACCCCTGCCTTTACTAGACAGTTCCCTTTCTTATTCACAGCAATTGGATGCTGTCTTTTTCGTTGTTTTTTAATTTTATGTGTCTCATTGTTTTTAATGAAAAAATCTAACCGTGGTAAAATACACATAACACAAAATTTACCATTTTAACCACTTTTAGGTCTACAGTTCTGCGGTTGATATTCTTGTAAAACCACCGTCATCCATCCACAGAACTTTTTCATTTATACCCAACTGAAACTCTGTACTCATTAAACACTAACTCCCCATCTCCCCTCCTCCCAGTGCTTGGCAACCACCATACTACTTCCTATCCCTTTGAATTTGACTACTTTAGATCCCTCATATAAGTCACACAGTATTTGACCTTTTGTGTCTGGTTTTTACTCAGCCTAATGTCTTTAGGGTTCATCCATGTTGCAGTATGTGTCAGAATTTCATTCTTTTTAAAAATTGAATAATATTTCATTGTATGGACAGAACACGTTTTGTTAATCCATTTGTCCAACTATATACATTGAGTTGTTTCTATGTTTCGGTTATTGTGAATAATACTGCTATGAACATGTGTGAAAAATTATCTCTTTGAGACCCTGGTTTCAATTCTTTTGGGTATAAGTCAGATGTGGAATTGCTGGATCATATAGTAATTCTTTTCCATAGCAGCTGCACCGTTTTACATTCCCACCAGCAGTACACACAAGGGTTCCAATTTCTCCACATCCTTGTCAACACTTATTTTCTGTTTTTTGTGGGGGTTTTTTGTTTTGTTTTTTTTTGTTTGTTTTTATAGTGGTCATACTATTGTGAGGTGATGCCAGCCCTTCTTTTTGAGTGTCCAGCACTTGTGGTCTGAAAATGTAATACGATTCTAAAGAGAGTCCACATCATAGCTGAAATATTTAGGCAACTTTCTAATGTCAGCCCAACACATGTGTACACTTGTGAGCGAGATCGCATACACACACAGGCACATACACCCCATCTGTGGCCCCTAGCATGGCTCCAGGTACCTCTTGAGTACCCAGGTCACCCACCCCTGCTGTGTTGAGCCCCATTTGCGGAAAGCGTGTGTACAATGCTCTTTCATGAAAACAGGACTCTCCTTGTGTTTGTTTTTTGACTGCAGAACCACGACCATGCCTGCATAGCCTGTCGTATCATCCACCGGTCAGATGAGCACCGCCCACCCCTCTTGCCCCCCAAGGCTGACCTGACTGTTGGCCTGCATGGTGAGTGGGTGAGCCAGCGCTGTGAGGTTCGGCCCGAAGTCCTCTTCCTCACGCGCCACTTCATCTTCCACGACAACAATAACACCTGGGAAGGGCATTACTACCACTACTCCGACCCCGTCTGCAAGCACCCTACCTTCACCATCTACGCCAAGGGCCGCTACAGCCGGGGCGTGCACTCCTCCAGGGTCCTGGGAGGAACAGAGTTTGTATTCAAAGGTAGGGCCCCTGCCTCACATCCTAACGTAATAGCCCAATGGGTGAGGGACACCGAGCAGTTTTGTGACATTTTTTGTTGAGGTAGAGCCTGAAGGAAAGGGCCTCTTTTCTGCTAGAGATGTTGAGGAAGAGAATTGGAACACTTTCAGCCCCACGGTCGTCATTTACAACAGCCTCTGAGAGGTCCTCTCTACTCAGAACTGGGCCAGCCAGAGTAGACGGCACAGCCTGCAGGCTGTTGGTGTCAGGGAACCCACTCCCCTGTGAACAGTGTCAGATGTAGTCAGGACTATGTTCCTAGGAATGAAATCTCAAGTCTGCATGTTTCTTTTTTGTGTGCAGCTCCTGGTGGATTCTGAACAACTCCTGTGGTAACATCACACATACTGCATGCACCATGCTTTCTTTAGTGGGCAATAAAGAGCAGGCATTAGTTACACCTCAGAGTTGTCATTTCTCACACTGAATTTGTCCTGCACTGAGCTGTCATATGCTTGAAGGTGGGGGGTTTAGGATACATAATAAACGAGGAAGGTAAGGGATGAGATTCACTGAGCTATTATCAGGAGGGAGGTCTTGTGGTCTCTACGTCATGCTTTTCTTTCTTTTTTTTTTTTTTTCTTTTAAAGCTTGTACATCTTTTTAAGGTGGTGGCAGCCCTGTCATGGCCAAGAGAGCCGGTCTGGACACTGAGTATGATCCCTTCTAGGATAGCATTCCATGGTTCAGTCTATTGAGTATAAAGTAACTATGTTAACCTACATAAGTTCTAGGGCATCTTAGCTCTCCTCTTAGGAAGGAAGATTTGCTCCAGGAAGAATGGACCTTTGATTTGATAGCTGTAGCCAAGAGAACAGCCATAGTTATCTGATTCAACCCCAAAGCTCTTGTGGTATACGCAGAACACAGTCCCCTGGGAGAGCCTTCAAAAGGGATCCTCTACAAGTGCTTGGATTTATTCTCTCTCTCTCTCTCTCTCTCTCTCTCTCTCTCT